GCAAATTATCTCTTTTTGTCTTTATTGACTATCACAATCCTCCCCTTTCCTTATTCATTAGTAATTTGCTTATCAAACCTCATTACAGCTTCCCGAGCTGCAATTAAGGTAGGAGGTTGTTCTGCTTTAGGTGTCTCTTCATTCAATTCCAGATATTGCTGTCTCATTACCATAAGTTGTACCATTTCAACTCTACTTTTAATAAAAGTCACAATTTTATTTAGAATACAGGGACCAAGTGTCAAAATAATTACTAGCGTTATTAGAGGGCCTATTAGGGTAGAAACTAAAGTAGTTAACCAAGGTGATTGGTTAAACCATGATTCAGACCAGCTCTGTCGAGTTTCCCTTTCCCTTTTTCTTTGAAGAATTCCTTCACGTAATTTAGCCATAGATTCACGCACTACTCCTGAATGATCCGCATAAAAACAACATTCCTCCCCTAATGCAACACATAGCCCCCCTTGTTGTAAGAATATTAAATCTAATCCTCTTCTATTTTGCAAAACTACTTCAGAAAGTGAAGTGAGGGACTTCTCTAAATATGATATCGATTTTTCAATTCTCTCTAAGTCTTCATCAACTGCTGCTCTTAGAGATGTTATCCCTTTATTTTGCTCAACATAGGATGCAATTCCCGTGGCCGCCCCCGCTGCTCCCAGACTGAGGAGCATGGCAATAGTTATGGCCGTAAGTGGTTCCCTTTTTTGTATCCTGTGTTTATTATCATCCCAATGGTCTAAAATCGATTCCCTTGAATGATAAAGTATTCGGGGTATCACCGTTATTTGTACACAGAATTCCTTACTTTCGTCAAATATTTGTAAAGATATGCAGGGAGTTACGCCCGTCCTTGAGCATATCCACCATCCTTCCCCACCAGGTATAGCCCATTTCTTTGTTTTATCTAGTTTCTTTATCGTATAGCTGCATAAGTCCTTCTTGGCTGTAGGTATGTTCCCTATACACACTCCCTGTCCTCTCACCTGCTGGAGAGTGATTCCTACCTTTTTCTCTTCCCAATTACATTGTGTAGGGTCGCCCTGATTGGGTGTTTTAAATGAGGTGTTCAAAGCTATCCCTTCATAAAATGGGGGTTTGATATCATAGCACAACCAACAGGAATTAGTCATGTTAGAGTCAGTGTGGTTAAGTGTATAGTAGGCCGCTTGCATTAATTGTAGTAATGGTTCTGTTTTCTCATATTCCTTGGTGTAGGTTAAGGTTACACTGGAGTTGTTAAAGTTAACAGTCGGGACGGTTGAGTCTTTGAAAGTCTTTCTTTTCCCACTCTCCTTCTGGTTTAAGCTATTCTCTTTCTTTTTTATTATTTTATTGGGTCCTATTGCCAGAGGGCGTTGGGTTATTTCTTGTTTTTTTATTGTTATCAGCCCTCCCCTGTCCGTCCCAGGTTCCCAGTATCTGATTCCCCAAGTTTTTCCTATTAACCATCCTGGGTCCTCTGGTTGCATTACTTGGAGGGTTATATAACTACTGATGCCTGCTCAGCTGGTGCTTAGAAAAAAAATCTAGGCGCCGTTAGTTGGGGTGAGATAAGAAAGGGTTTAATTGTGCCAAGGCAAGAGATGGTAAACGACGCGCGCCGGGCTGTGCCCGAGATGTTACATTTATAACAATATCTGGCCAATCCCAAGTGTGTCCACCCTCTGACTTTTGCTCTGGTCCACCCCCTGGCCCACCTCCTGGAATTGGGTCCGGGGTGCTTTTTGGGACCCCCTCTTCCTCATCCTTCATCATCTTCGGGGTACAGAGAGCAGAGTCACCCAGTTCCTTGACTCTGTCCTGCAGTTTAGGCCAAGATACAAGTGTTCCCCAAACAAGACAGGCTTGCCTTGACTAAGAGACTAAACATTTTCTACTGGATACGGGAATAGGGTTGACATGGGGGGTATGGAATGGGGTGAGAGGGTTAAGGAATGTATAAACTAAGGGGTACTAGGGGAGGAGGGAGAAAGGAATGTTTCTAAAATCTACTTCTATTACTTATAAAACTTATAAGGTAGAAAAATAAGAAAACCATTGGGGTTTAAGGCATCACTACAATTGCTATCTCTCCTAAATCCTCCAGACAAAACAATTTGTGATGGTTTACAGCCGGGTGGTCCCCAGGTTGTTGCCAGATACTTATCTCGGGAAGTAGGGGTCCAGGCGGAAGCAATTGTGGTGCAGTCCCAGTACGCACAGTAATATTCATTAGGGAAATTACAGTACCCCTTCCCTGGATTAGATGCAAGACAAAGATAGTATGCTTTCAAATTTAAGCAACGTGATAAAGGTACCAGTTGACACAGTGTAGCAGAGAAACTGGGAGGTCCTGCTGTAAGATTACTCTTAATTATTTTCAGATCGCCCCCTCTGGTCAAGGTCCAGTTGTATGGCTGATGTGGACTTTCCCTGCTTTGGGGAAACTGCCACAAAAACACTACAATCCATATATAATTTCCCATGTCTGTTCTCCACCATATTATTGCTCTGCCTCCTTTGTCTACTCCTTTGCAGGGAGCAACGAGGTGTGGATTATCTTCTCGACAGCAGTCAATATTCTTCAGGAGACTATGGGTTATTGGTAGACTCTTACAACCTTCTGGTTCTTCCCTCTATTTCTCAAGACTCGTTTGTTTCATATGCTCCTCTAGTATTTCTAAAAGTTGGTTGGTCATTAGATTTGTTTTCCAGGCAAATTTAATGGCACACTGTTCTAAAGTTTTGTACCAATCCTTTTTATAGACCTCCCAGTTTTCCGGTACCAACTATTCCCATCCGCAGAATAACTTGTCAATTTCCAGAACACTCAGTTGCTCATTAGAAGCTCTAAAGAAATCTCGACATTTCATACAATGGGTATTCCGTCTACTTGCTACACAATACTACTCTATACCACATAATATACATTTACAACTGACCCAACCTTCATGCCCTGAGCCGGGGTGTTTTATACAGGGAATTTTTCGTACAGGTCTTTCTGGCAGAGTAATTTCAGTTTCAAATTTACAACAAAAAGGAAAAGTTTTCCCTTTTTCAGCAATTTAATACAATCCACTTCCCCCGGTCTGGTAAGGGGTTGGTCCGCTCAGCTAACGGCTATACCGAACTCCTATTAGGGTTAGGTCCGAAGGTACTTCAAACCAGGAGTATAGGCTGGGTTTTACATCCCGCTCAAAGCAATTCATTTACCAATCCCGCTTTTCTGAATGTCATTCGGAGATCTCCGGGCTGGGAGGTTACAGTCCATTCAGGTGTGATGACTGGTCCTTTAACACAAGATGCGTGGGTCCATCCTTTTTCAGCGGTACGAATGGCTGTATCTGTAGTGAGAAGAACGACAAAAGGTCCCTCCCAACTAAGATTTAAGGAGGTTTCTTTCCATGTCTTAATTAACACTCTGTCTCCAGGTTGAATTTTGTGTATTGCCATATCCAACGGGGGTCTCTGAGTTACTAATCCTTTCTTCCTCAATTACTGTCTCCTTTTCATTAACTCAATTATATACTCCCTTAAGAGGGTATCTTCCACCTTTGGATTCTCTATCGGGATTCCAAAATCATATGGCATTCCATACATCATTTCAAATGGTGAGATTCCAGTATCAGTACATGGTTGGGTCCGAATATATAATAAAGCCAATGGCAAACACTTTACCCAATTCATTTTAGTTTCTATCATTAATTTAGTCAATTGTTTCTTTATTTCACCATTCATTCTTTCCACTTTACCAGAACTCTGTGGATGCCAAGGTGTATGATACTCCCACTTGGTTCCAAAAAGCTCTGTTGTTTCTTTGATTATTTTAGAGGTAAAGTGTAGTCCCCTATCCGAGTCCACCACTGCCACAGCACCGTACCGTGGAATAATTTCTTCTAATAAAATCTTAATCACGGTTTTGGCGGTGCACCTTGCCACGGGAAAAGCTTCTACAAAGTGGGTGAGATGATCCACTAACACCAGTAGGTGGCGGTATCTTCCTACTTTAGGTAGCTCAGTAAAATCTGCCTGCACCTTTTCAAAAGGTCTTTTAGCTAATTCTCGCCCCCCTTGTACTCGTTCTTTTAATTGTCGTTTATTTACCCTTTGACAGGTTAAACACCCTTCAAGAGTTTTTTTTGCTATACTATAAGCTCCCACACAGACAAACTTGTTTTCAAATTGATCCACTAAAGCTTGTGTCCCCCAGTGTGTCTGCTCATGTAATTTTCTCATTATTCTCTGGGCCAGACCTTTTGGAAGAACTTCCCGTCCATCTGGTAATAACCACTTATTATTTTCTTCTTTCACTCCAGACTGTCGCAGTTTTTCCTTTTCTTGTTCACTAAAGCTTTTCAGAATGTCTATGCCCCCCTGTTCTGAACTAGCGATTACTAATAAAGCCGCCCTTTTTGCTTCTTCATCTGCTAAGTTATTACCTCTAAGAGTAACCTTTAATCCTTTCTGATGTCCCTTAATATATACAACTGCAATCTGTTTTGGTTTTCTCAGAGTCTTTAGAATTTCTCGAATCAAAGTCTCATGAATGAGTCCCTTACCTTGTGTATTGATCAATCCTCTTTCTTCCCATATTTTGCCGAAAGTATGAACCACCCCAAACGCATATTTAGAATCTGTGAATATAGTGCCTGCTTTTCCGTCTAATATCCGTAAAGCTCTCAACAGTGCATATAACTCACAAGCCTGAGCTGACCACGTCTTGTCTAAGGGCCCAGACTCTCTGACTTGAAAAGTCCTTCCGTTAATTACTGCGTATCCTGACTTTCGGTTCCCATTAACTACCCTAGATGAACCGTCTATGTATAATTTCTCTCCTTCACTCAGTTCTTCTTCTTCTAAATCTTCCCTAATTTTTGTCTGAAAATTTATTACTTGTAGGCAATCATGTACCAGGTCTCCTTTGGGCTCCCCATATAAGAAATGGGCTGGATTTTGTAGATTTGTCACTTCTAGTTCTAATTTTGGTGAATGTAATAAGATGCTTTCATATTTTAACAGCTGGCTATCTGTCAGCCATTTCTCAGCTCTCTGTTGCAATACTCCCCTTATATTGTGAGGGGTAAAAACTCTCAATTCTCCTCCAAAAGTCACTTTTGTTGCTTCTTCAACTAACAAAGCCGTAGCCACGATAGCTTGCAGGCAAGTTGGCCACGCCCTGCTGACTGGATCTAATAATTTTGAATAATATCCACCTGGTTTTCTCTGCCCAGCCCAAGTCTGAGTTAGGACTCCATATGCCGTACCATTTTCAGTATTCACAAACAAATAAAAAGGTTTTCGATTATCTGGCAAACTTAACACAGGTGCATTTACCAAATCTTCCTTCAATTTTTCTAGTTGTTTTTCATCTTTGTCACTCCACTTCACTAGCCCGTCTTTTGCCAATTTTTCATATAAGAACTTAACCTTACTACTATAATTTTCAATCCATTGTCGGGAGTACCCAAATAATCCCAAAAGCTGTCGAATCTGTCTTTTTGTTTTGGGCATAGACAGTGACAAAATTCCATTCACTCGATCAGGGTCTAATCTTTTATGTCCCTTACTCAGCCAGTGTCCCAAATATTTAACTTCTTCTTCTGTAAATTGTAGCTTAGACTTTGATACTTTCAGACCTTTTAAACTCAAAAAATTTAGGAGCCTAATACTTTCGTCCCTGACAGCTTCTGACTTTTCCCCAGCAATTAACAAATCATCTACATATTGAATTAAGATGGTGCCCTTACGGGGTTCAAAAGATTCTAATAAATGCTCCAAAGCTTGCCCAAATAAATTAGGGGACTCTGTACATCCCTGAGGTAGGACAGTCCACCTAAACTGCTGTTTCCTATGAGAATCAGGGTCCTTCCATTCAAAGGCAAAATAATCCCTACTGTCTTCCTTAAGGGGACATGCCCAAAAAGCATCCTTCAGATCAATCACGCTATACCATTTGTATTCAGGGGAAAGTTGGTTTAATAAAGTGTATGGATTAGCCACCACTGGAAAACGGGTAACTGTTCGTTTATTCACCTCTCTTAAGTCCTGCACCAATCGGTAGGACCCATCAGATTTCTTTACTAGCAAAATGGGGGTATTATGAGGTGACATACATGGTTCTAACAGTCCCTGCGTTAAGAGTCGTTTGATAATAGGCTTAAGTCCGACTCTTCCTTCTTGAGGGATAGGATATTGCTTTACCCTTATTGGCTCCTCTGAATTTCGGATGGAAACCTCAAACGGTTTTATATCTAACTTTCCCACAGAATCAGGGGTATACCACACCTCAGGATTTATCCTCTTTTCATCCTCTGCCGTAAGGGAGTATATTTTAGCTTGTATTTCCTGCTCCTTTACTTCCAAATTAATCCCCAGTTCTATTATTAAATCTCTCCCTAATAGATTATATTCAGCCTCAGGAACTAACAAAAATGTTCCTAATGCATATTTATTTTGGGCTTCTATTTCCACATCTTTGATGAGGAGTACTTTAAAAGGTTCCCCTTTAGCCCCTGCTACTAGGACTGTATCTGGGGAGGTCATACAGCCCCAAGGTAGTTTTTGTACAGTTGATTTTTCTGCCCCCAAGTCCACTAGGAACTCAAATTCTTGTTGCTGAGGACCCAATTTGAGTTTTATCAAGGGCTCTCTTTTCTTTTGGGTCCTCAGCAGGTAAAGCCCCTGACCCCTTCAATCTTCCTGATAAATTCGGTCATCCTGCAGCCTTTTTCTGCAATTTCTCTGCAAATGTCCTCTCTGCCCACAGTAATAACATTCTACCTCACTTAAATCTGATTGACCACGTTCCCTGGGTAGTTCATGTCTAACAAATCCACGAGGGATCCTTCGTTTTTGATTTCTGTCTCCCCTCTGTCCTTCTCGTATAGCTGCCACTAAAACCTTAGTCTGTCTTTTTTGCATTTCCACCTGCTTCTTCTGCATTTCTTCTTGTCTTTTCTGTTATTCCTCCTGTCTCTCCTCCTGTCTTTTTGGCATTTCCTCTTCTCTCCTTTGCCTTTCCTCTTCTCTTTCTTCATCCCTTCACACATATACCCTCTGCGCTTCCCTTAGCAACTCGTCTAAACCTTTTATTTGCCAATAGTCACTCTTTT